CCCCCCCCACACACACACACACACTTCTAACGGCTGTCACACCAATTAGAAATCCTAGGTAATCTTACGTCTAGTCATTAAAATCCAGTCAGACACTGGGTGCAAAAATGTTCAAAGGGTGCTGTGACAATCTCTGAAATATGAAGCAACCTTTATTAGATTTCCACAAGGAGGATTCCATCAGCAATCTGTTCTCAGGGTTGTGTTTAACCGCCTACAGTCTGTGGTCTCCACATTAGAAATATATATATATATATATATATATATATATTCTATGATCTGCTTCTGTTTGGGTTGCAGCGGGATAGGAGGGTTTGCGCTGAGGTGGAAGTGAAGCAGTAGGCGGTGAGGCGGTGGCACATCTATCGAGGGCAGGGCGGTACTGGGGAGGAACGTTGCCCTGGAGCGCGCCGCACGTACCGAAGGGACGCGCTGATTGACAGTCGGAGGCACGGAGCGCCCCGTGCGGAGCTCGCAAGCGGAGCACGCTAATCTCACCGCAACACGTCTTGTCAACGGCATTGTGTGAAATTCCCAGATAGATCAGCCTGGCGCAGAAAAGAAAAAGAGCAAGAGTATCCGTCCAGCGGCTCCGTTATTGGAGGGTTTCTGGAGAAGTGGAAAGGACGCGGCGGCTCTGCAACTCTCTCCCCATCTTCTCTCTACCTGTTCAGTGATAAGTGGAAACAGTCTTGGCCAACCTGGCGCCTCAAAGTGTCCGGATAACGGGAGTGGGTGGACGCAAAGGTCAGAATGCACCAAGCAATCTGAGCGAACAAAGATTTTTGTCGATTTCTTTTTGTGGACTAAAAGGACTGCGCTTGGTGCTTGATCAAGATAAATTTTTGGGGGGAGAGGTTGCTCTTTTTTAAAAAAAAAAATGTTAAATGCAGAATAATCGCGTTTGTGAATCTGTTTTTGATTTCCAGGAGATTGTAATAGAAGAAAACTCTTTCTAATTGGAATATTGGATACGGAAGCAGGAAAGTCTGGAGGAATTTAGTCTAAGTTCCCTTGGTGCGTAATGTGTGCAAGTGCCGCATAAGTACTTTTGCCTTGTCCGTTTTTCTACGTCCAGTACCCCCATTTTTCTTTCTCATGGAGTAGGCTGAATCGCAGGTAAAGACTTAAAAAGAGTGGGCTTATTCCCTGCCGCCCCGAAACACAGGCGGATTCGATGCGCCGATTCTTCGTGTGATGGTAAATGACCGATGGGGAATCATGAACAGCTCTTCTGAACTCGAAGATGGAACTCGGCATAAAAACCAGGTATGTTCCGCACATTCTCCACTCGATCTGTGGGCTTTTTAAAATTACTGTTATTATTATTATTATTATTATTATTATTATTATGAGGAGTGGTGCATCTGCTTGCTGCAGTGTTACCACGCTGAATTTGGTGATGTGCCTCTCGGGCGAATCACTGCACTGTAGAGACAGAAGCTGCAGATGAGCTGTTATTCCCGACTCCCCGAGCTTTAGCACTTCTGTTCCTGTCATAATGTTTCAACCCACCCGCGGATCACACGGTCCCCACGGCTACTTTTTATTTATTTTTTTATTTTAATGTGTCACAGCGCGTGAACGTGTTAGTTAGCCCTACTTAGAAATACATTAATTAAGGGGAATAGGTGAAAATCACTGCAGGAGATAATTGCGCATCTCGGCTGCATCCTCACCACATATTGTCAGATTACTTCGGGCTGCAAGCTGCTCGCTTGTCTGAAAATCACGTTTGTCTTGTTGAAAATGCCGAAACTTGGCGCACAGACATCCTCCCGACAATCTTGAGTTCAGCCTGTCTCCCGCTCGGGTGAACTGGGACAGGGTCGGACGTGTATGGTGTTGCATGCACGAAAGGCTTACTTTGGGGAATAGTCAATGTGTTTTCACAAGGTCAGTAGAGGGTTATTGACAGCCAATGAGAGAGAGAAAGAGACAGAGAGAGGAGGCGAGAGAGAGAAAGGTCTCCTCGGGAACAGGGGATCGGATTTCGGGGCACTGATACAGCTTGTGGCCTTTGCAAAACACACAGAAAGGAGAAAACACACGTTTTCCTTTCCTTGTTTCTAAAAATGTAGATGGCTTTTAATAAGAAATGTGAAAGTGCTGAAAAGTTCCTCAGAGAAATCTGAGACAGTAAGAGCAAATCTGACGTGAGCCTGCAGTTTGGCGACCTTTCCATTGCTGACGCACCTTTGATTTGTTTCATAGGAAATCAGCTCACATAAATCGCACAATAGATTTTTTTTTTTAAATATACGACAACATTATTATCCCAGTGAGACTAATCAATAATATGTGTTTTTAGAATGTTTTTGTTTTGTTTTTTGTACTGTGAATTGCGAATGGTGCCATTCCAATTGTTAGAAAGACGCTCGACTTTGGCACATTTCTAATACTGCTTAGGTGTTGGATGTGTGGCTTGCTGCTCTCCTGTAGATTTCAGGGCTCAGTCAGAGTCACTTGCATGGTGGCACTGTGGGCCTGTGTTTGAGTCTTGCTGCATGAGTATGGACTGATACCAAGATGAGTTTAATGTGCTGTATGTTACAGCTGGCAGATCTTCATGTAACCTGCTTATAAGTGAAGTCGAGGCCAGCGTTTTATTGCCTACAAGCTCCCCTGTCTATTTTATAAGCACTTAAAGGTCACGTGAACACCAGATAGCCTGCCCTGGGTTTTAATGTGTTGAGTGTGTGTGTGTGTGTGTGTGTGTGTGTTCTGCAATGCTAGCCTCTCTGTGTCTGATCAGTAAACTAAACTGAGGTGGGGGGGGGGGGGGGGGGGGTGTTGTTGATGAATGAATGAAAAGTGAAGAGTCATGTTTAGATTAAAAAAAATCTGAATGACTCTAATATTGTGAAAAAGCCGAATGTTATCCATAACTTCAACACTGGGTGAGAGGAGATGTTGTGGGAAATAAGAATGCCTAATGCTCCAATCTGTCCCACTCCTCCCTACATCAATCTGTCTCTTTCTTCGGCACTTGTTATGTTACTATCACACACAGGCAGACATAACCATTCTCTCTGCTACCCCCACCCCATCCCTCTCTTTCTGTCAGCCAGTCTCTCCCTGCAATCTTTAGCAGTAATACCAATCTTTTATCTCCAGTCTCGTGCTATTGACACAGTCATTTCAGACCCAGTGGGGAGGGATCAGGTAATAGAGATCTCTTGCGGTCTCTGTTTGTCTTGATATTACAAAACATCGCCTGGTATTTGTCTGGTAACTCTGCATATTTGAGTCGTTGCTGTAGGTGGGCTGTCATCTGTGCCCTTTTGTAACAGATGGGTGCCATTTAGAGTAAAGCGGAGATTCAAGTGCGACTTAAAAACCAGCTTTGAAATCTTCGCCAGATACAAAGCAACTGTGTGACTGTGGCCGCATGGTTGGATGTGCTATTAACTTGGGAGAATTTCGAGCGAGCACAATAGCGGAGCATTCATATTAGGCTTTTTTGATGAAAAAAGTCAGAGCTGAGAAAAGTCAAGGCAAAAAAAACCAACAGAAAAACAAAAACAAAATGTGATAAGAGCAGGTTGCTTTGGAATGAATACACATCCCCAGAGTAAGAGCTTTTGGTCGCATGCAGTCCAAATGATGAAAGCCCAAAGGACTGGATGATGATTATAGGAAAACAGAACTTGTTTTCAGTCATTCACATAATATCAAAAAGGTATCCAAAGGACAAGGAAGTGAATTATCATGTGACTCCTGAAGCCAATGACCTGCTTAACTGTTAAGATTTAACCTCCATTTTCTCTCACGCTCCGATGAAAGCCGCTCGCCTGAATCATTAGCCTGTTTGCTTACATGGCTGGAATGAATGGATGAAATTGTGATTCATCAACTCTCTGTTTTAAGTTATGTATCAGTTTTACATTTTTGTAATTCAACACTGGAATAAGAAAGGGTTTGTTCTGTAAAGAAACCCCATTGTCCTGTAGGTCTTCTTTTGAAAGGTTAGCTATTCTATTCAATTCAATTTTATTTATACAGAGCCAAATCACAGCAACAGTCACCTCAAGGTGCTTTATATTGTAAAGTAGACCCTAAAATAATACACACAGAGAAAGACCCAACAATCATATGGACCCCCATGAGCAAGCACGTTGGCAACAGTGGGAAGGAAAAACTCCCTTTCTATATCAGATTTATAGATTTGTATATTAGTTACTGTGCTGTGATTCTTATAGCAGGTTAAGGGGCATTTTCTTTTTAAATTTCATAGTGTGATATAAGTGCATACACATGTGCTAACACCTATGGTATATATAAATGTACTGCACATAGGATATGTCTGTATATTTCTCATCTTTACCACACATGATGCAGAAACACGCACACAGTACAGCTTTAAAGGGAGATAAGCCCAGTGGGGTTGCCCACTTGGGCTGGAGATAATCAATAACATTCTCTAAACTTTCCAAAGCATTGAGGGAAAAAAAAATGTTTATGACTAGAAAACCATGGAATATATCTGACAGTTTGTCAGCTCTTACACCCTAAGCTTCACTTTAGAACCACAACCAACACAAACTGATCAAAGTCAAGAAATGGAATCAATGAGTCAGCAAAGCGTGTAACAATAGTTAGGAAGTCTATCTATCTCCAAAACATCATGAAGGAAAGCTATATGAAGGAGGATGATGTGCAACACATACATGCAAAGATATGTGCAGACACACACTATGTTTATCACACACAAGTATCAAAAACAGACTCAGCAGCAACCCATATCACAAATTATGTCGACACCTCTGCTGGTATTTATCAAACTGCACTAACTCACTTAATTAGATGTTGTACCCACACGCAACTGTGGCACAAGAGTCAGGCTCTGTAGGACTTCATGCACACACTGATTTACGCCTACAGCAATAGTGGAAATTTTTTTATTTCTAAGTAACTGTGTGATTATTTTATTTCCGTCCTGTACGTTAAACTGAAGTGCCCTGAAGTGAGTGCAATCACTAAGTAATCTTGCTCATGTACTAATGGAATATGTATCATATGTTTTTTTTAAGCACCTTAACCTCAGTTTTTAATGGAAGGGAAAAGTGCAATATCTTCTGGTCAATGGGAGAGGGGGTGTCCCAATCAACAGTAGTCTCATGCTTGACATTGCTCAGTAGCATTCAAACATAATGAAGAAGTTCCAAAGTGCCTTTAGATTTCTGGATAACAGCACAACACGATTGCAGAGTGGCTACTCCATGATAATAACGACAAGCAGCTGTTAAGAGGCAACTGATGGTAATCTTGATATCTGCAATCACAAAGCACGCTTCTTTGCAGCTCTGAATCGTTCAGGTCACGATTTATAGCGTTCATGTGACGAGTTCAAAACAGTAATGTGCGTACAACTGAGAAGCCATTTACACTCGACAAACAAACACATGAAACTGCCATGATCACTGTACAAAAATGGTAATTATTCTTTTTTTCCATATAAAGAATACGTCAAATGGCAGCGAAACTTTTCCCACATAGCGATCAATACAGAGAATTATTAATCTCCTCTTCTCTGTCGAGCCTTTTAAACCAAAAGCCATAATTAGTGAAAAAGAGTGAAAATATAGATGAGTGCAGCCTGTAAAAAGTCAGCTACTTCCCAAAGGATTTGGTAAAGACCAAAAACATGACTAAAAGAGAGTCGTGGCTGTACTTACATTCCCCGCTGCTAATTAATGATCAAATTAAAACTGCTGGCATGCCCACAGTTAGCATACTAGCTAGGATGACAGCTAGGATATGCAAAGATTTAACATTTATTAACTGTAACAGAAAGAATTTGCAGTTGTCATCATAGTTTAAACTTTTACTCGCTACGGCTTATTTGTGTTTAATAGGGCAGCATTTGCAATTGGAAAATTGCGGCCTTTCATATCGTGACTTTGATTAATTGTTCGGCCCTAATAACAACGCTACAGTGGAAGCAGACACATGTGAAGTATATGTTCTATACAGCCATGCCATGATACTTTAATCATCAGCATAACAGTATGTTGAGGGCTGAAGATTGTAAATGCATGCCGTCTCCGTGACAGATGTGGGCTTGCTGCTTCTGTGGGTACCCTTGTCGAAATAATGAACCTGCTGAGCTGGCCAGAGGTATAGGAGGCCATGTGGACTGGAGCAAAACAGAGCAGAGAGACTTCCCTGGATCACTGGGCCTGTGATTTCCCTGTGGGGGGTCTTGCTGTGGCAGGACTACAGCTCTAACAACCTCGGCCTTGGTCTCCCCTGCCTTGCTCTGGCTT